CTGCTACAGCAGCGGCTCTTAAGGGATGTACGGATACACAGATTAGGGCTATGGGACGATGGCAATCCAATGCATTTCAGAAGTATATAAGATCAAATCATGTGCCCACTAGTGAGTAAACAAATTCATTGCTTAATTGACTCTCTTTTCGGTATTGGCTTTTAGCTTATGGTTGTTGAATACTTGCTTGGGCCAGTATTCAGTTAGCTATATTAGAATTTTACCTCTACTTATTAATAACAAAGTTTTATAAATATATACAGTAATGCTCTTCCTACTGATTCATAAACTTTTTTTGAATACCTGCGAGGGCCGGTATTCAAATGAGTCAACAGAAACATTTAGCGATACCCCGAAATGCCAGATAACATAAGCTTTATTTCATAGGTACCTGCTGGGGCCGGTACCATTATGAATGCATGCATTACTTTTAAATGTTATAATACTTCTTGTGCCAGTAATAAAAGTATATCTGAAGTGTTACCTGCTTGAGCCGGTAACATGTTTTATGTATGTATAGACATTTTCAATGAAGCAAGATTACTTGCTGGGGCTAGTACTCATTTGTTGTCTTATTTAGAACTCTTGTACTAAGAAATACTTACTTGTTTTCATATTATGCATATATGTGCGTGTATGTCCTGATGTAATTATTTCTTACATGTTCATTCCTTCTTGTAAAAGCATTTTTTATATGAATGATGTACATGCAGTGGCATAGTTTGGGTCGTTTCAAAGATCCTTATGAATATGATCTTCTCAACTGTGGATGATTGACCCCACTTTTGCCGATGTTATACGATTCAAACTACATTGTATACTCTCTGTATTTACATGTTAAATTCTGGATTTTGTTTTGTATGAAGAAAACTGTATATACATGTTTTACAATTGTTTTCGACAAACAGTAGTTAATATAGAGTTTGTGTTCTGTTATTATTATACATGTATGTAAGAAATATTTTATAGGTGTAAAGAACAATTGTCCATTTTTGTTGGCAACCTTTGATGCTTATATTAACTACAATTTTTGTTTATTGACCAAAACCTTTATTTTGATCAATAAAATTCATCTTCAATATACATTTAGCTTTTGTCCTTTTTCATAGCATATGGGAAAAGAGGAGGCATAAACAAACAATAAGATGCTTTCTTTGGTTGTCAGTACGGATGTTAACGTCGCAGCTGTTGCAGAAAAATAGTAATCCACATTTTTTTCTCTGCGAGGTTAATTCTTGTACTTACAACCGAACGAAAACATTTTATTGTCTTCCGCTTTCGCGAAAGCCAGGGGACATAAAATCTCATTCGTCTGTCAGTCTGTAATTCTGTCCGTCTGTCACAAAGAAATCATATGACATTAAGCTTGACTTTCTCTCATTATTGAATCTTTAATGAATTTATAACAGTTTATGTGAACACTTTTCATCACATAGTTTCATTGTGTAAAGCTGGAAAACAAGGGCTATTCAAGACACTGCATTAAAAATGAATGGTAAAGAATCAGTAAAAGAGCGAAATTAAACGCTTCATTTAAGCGGCTGTAAAACTTGTTAAGAATCCCAAAGAAATATTCAATGAAATATGTGAAATTTACCGCAACTAATGTCTGTTTTATAGACACATGAGCAGGTGGATTCAAATGAACAAAAGTGATATAATAGGCATCAAAAATGGGTACCGTCCTTGGCGACAAATACTTACAACAACCAATGTAATGTTTGCGAAAATTCAACAAATAATCAATGATGATGTTTGATTGAATTTAAGACACATAGCAAAATTTATAGACATCATTTTAGGGGTAGTTTATAATGTTTTAAAGAATCATTTGACAGTAAAAAAGCTTAGTACTCAATGATCACCATATTTTTGGAAAAATGAGTGAAAACAACAGCGTGCAAGAATATCTAAACAATTATTTTTTTTTTTAAAAAATCAAAAATTGAAGTTATCAACGTTTGTTTGAACTTCAAACAGATAGTGAAACTTGATCTCATTGCTTTAAACCCTCAAAACAAATTTACAACAATAAGATGCACTTGACAAAAACAGCCAAGGTCTGAAAAACGCAAAGAATTTCAGAAGCACAAAAATAGTTTTATATGTCATTTTCGTAAATATTAGGTCTTGTTCAAATTCTTATTCGGGGAGGCATTTCAATTTCTGGAGCAGTCTAGAAAGCAAATTTTTGCAAAAAATCGAAAGGTTTATGAGAGGATGGAACCAGAATCAGGAATCCACTACATTAAATTTTGTCATGACAGCGTCCAAACCTACAGGCCATGAAGAGAAATTATATATATAGTAGTTTTGGGGATAAATAGAAAGTTAATGTTTTGTCAGACAAATAATATTCGCCAGATCTTTCACCCTTTCACTCGTTTCATTTTCCAAACTTGAAAAAAAAACACCTCTCAGAAAGAAGAAACAAGTCAAGGAAATCGTAGGATCTGCCATATTCCAGTATACGAAGGTTAATACTCAAAAATGTGCTTTAAAAACAATCCGAAATTGGATAAAAATGTTACGGACATGTGTTTCAATTAAAAGAAAATATTTAAGTAAAATCCATCTTTCTAAGTCAAGAGTTTATGATCCGCTCCGCTCCACATAAACCCTTGACCGAATAGGCTAAGTTTGACGGGTTTAGAAATGAGTTCTCTGATTGACCTCATCCAAGTCTGCATGAACGAATCAAAATCATGTTTTATTTAAACTTAAACTAAATTATAAACAGAAAATCAAGTCAGTTTTAGACCCAAGGATATCGTCTTTATCATTAGATAGCCCAGTTGAAGGTTTGTCTCAGCTTTTTAGAAATTTTGACTCATATACATGTAGAGATGTCCTTGAAGTTTGACGAACTTTTAAAAAATTGAAATATTACTTTGAATTGGCTACAACCTTTGAATGAGACGAGATTCAGCTTTTATATTTAACATGTGCATTACCAGTGACAAGGCATTTCTAAATTCACAATAATATTGACCTCTTGACCTTGACCTATTTTTCGAAAACTTTAACCTTGGACATGATTTTTGAATGAGAAGGGATAATGTTTTCATATTAAACCCGTGTGATGCCTGTAACAAGACCTTTCTAGATACACTTTGATCTCGTGACATTGACGTTTGGGTATCTTTTAAACAAAGTACATTTTACATGCTTAGCATAAGCCAGGTTCCCTCTTTAATTTTGAATTCCATGACCCCAAGGTCTGGAGATATGGTAAGAGGGGCTAATGTAGTGCAAATGCACGTCAATTTCTTTCAAAATATTTTTTTTACTCCTAAGTGTATAGTTACGATGAGTAAGGGTGCCTCTTCCAGAATGTGTTTCATGACCCCTGATTCAGGTATTCTGGTATGAGGATAGATCTTTATCAATAATACATTGTACTACAAATATCAATACTATTAAATAATCCTATCCGCTCCTGAGTATTGGGCAATTAAAGAACAAAGTGCACATATGATAATAAGGAAAGGTGTTTCTTTCAAACGTTTTAAAACTTTTGATTCTGGTGTTTCGTGGAAGGGGCGCATTGATGATAATATAGTGGAAATATATTTTTGGTCCGCTAAAACTTTAACCTTGCCCACAAATGTCAAATGGTTGTTGCTACGATTTTCAATTTTATCATGTACATGTATATTCCTTGTGACAGACCTTTTCGTAGAAAACAGCATCTTTGTTACTCTTGTAATTAACCTTGATTGTTGACCTGTTTTTGACACCTTTACAAAAATTTAACCTTGGCCATAACTCTGAACAATTATTTGTAATTAGTGTTAGGATGTTCATTATCTAATCGTTTTGACTGATTCTTATTACAGGGTCTGATCCTTTATTTTTTTTTTGCTTCTTACAACACAATTATACATAACAAAAATTAGATGAGAATATATTTACACCCTTTTCATGATTATAGTTAAGGAATTATTCAATGAACAACCACCGCGCGCATATTAAGTATACTTACGTTAATTTAAGGACATGGCATTTTGAACTATGACGCACGTCTGAAGAACTAGTGGCTATCGCAAAGCATCAATAAAAAATCCTGAGCCCGCGAGGAGAACACACGGAGCATTCTGGTACAATAAAAAGCTATTATTATAATGATACCTTACCTTGTCCATTTGATCGCTAATCGAACTCAATTATCAGGTGCGCAGACTGAAACAAGTACATTTTGAAATACTTATTCCCAATCCCTCCAACATTAATAATTAACATGATTGTTGTTAATTTGACAAGGGATTCATTATTTTGTCTTAAAGGAGATTTATAATTCCAAGATAGTCTTTGAGGCAGTGTAGTATTCCAAGAATTTTCCTTGTTTAAATACATAAAAAATTGGCAAAATGTCTTTATTGAACGTCAAACGTCCAATGTATAAGCATGACACGGTCAGATACGTGAAATATGAAAGTACTCAAAGAAAAGATTTATTTCTTGCATACATGTGATATGCTACTTTTGTTAATTGCATCAAATTTTATTGAAATGAATTTAATATTAAAATTCTGGACGACAATGTGCCCTTTATGAAAACTATTTGGAAGGCGCTCAAGTAAATTTAAAAATAAAGTGCGACGAAGTTAACGCAAGACACAAAAGAGGTATGCAGTATTTCATGCAAAAAAACAAAACAAAACAAAAAAATCTAGAGGTACTGTGAGCAATGAGCTCACTAAATGATACCCCCCGCTTCCCATATGAATATAATGGGAGTGTCCATGTGTGGATGTTTTCTGTGCATTTACGAATTTTCATGCTAGATGTTTTTTTATACGCCGGGCTTGAAAAGTATTTATATCAATCAATGAAATATAATTTATCCTTAGAGTGCCGACAGTATATCTGCTGTTTTCAAAGCCTTTATTTAATTGAAAGACCAAACATAAAACCACTCAAACATAGAAAACCATAGAAAATTACGAACATATTACATTGTTAAGGCATATAATTATTCCATTAAACAACAAACTCACCCTAGTACTTCAAGCTGCCCTTGTTTGTACACATTTTCAAAATGTTTTTACTCCAAGTTTTTTATCAATGTCATCCATTTTATCGATCTTATTGTGTTTCTTCCCATTTGTATCTAAAACAAATATGTAACTATTATTAGACCACGAGCTGTCTGTAATATGTTGTCTCTCCTTGGCCCTAAGTTTCTTCAGCAGCTGTGTGTTGCTAATGGTTTTATGATACACCATTATATTGTTCTCTCATTTTGTGACCACTGTCCGTCCTCCTCACCTCTCCATCTTGCATGATTTTGTCAATTGGTCAAATTCTGGGAAGTGCTAGTTTGTTTTGGAATTAAAGTAACACCTGCCTTGTCAGCTACCAGATCCACAGAACTAGATCCTCTTTTAACTCCCGACTCTATGGCGGATTCAGAATTTTGACCTTATTTTCCTACGAGTATGGTTGGTTAATTTTTGCTATGCCAATAGAAATGGCAATTCAATTAATTTGTTTCTTGTTGTATTTTTATGACAAACATCCTGTTCTTCAGCTGTGATATATTCCGGATGTTGGTGTTCAATGTTTATCATTAAAGCTGAACACGATTCATAAACAGAATGTTTCCGCCATTTTCGACCGCACTCTCGCTATATCTGAGGACCCCCAGATACAGGGCCTGACTAAGTCACTGTTCATTGTAATCAGTCAACACCGGTGTAGACGGACGTATGCTATACAGAACTCGGTAGCGACAAAAAAAACTGTAATACTTCTTTAAATGCAGGGAATTAAAATACAGAAGAAACTTACAATAACTGTAAGGTCAGTACAGTATACAAACAAACATAGACACCCGTAACTGCAATAAAATGTAAACAAAGTTAATTCAAGATAACCAGCACGAACACGTGTCGCCATTCCAAGCCGAAACCCGTGACAATAAAGCAGTCAGGAATAACAAATGCGAAGAGTATACCCATGCAGGTGTTGATACCGAGGATAATGATATCGAAAATGGCGTATGCCTATTTACGAGTCGGATTCAGCTTTAAACTATCCATTTGTCCGGTAATCACTGTCTCAACCTAGAAAGTTGACCAGTTTGACTCATCCTCATCCAAGTCTTGGTGTATCTCCACTTTTTCTTCCTGTAACATATATTCCTCTTTAATCTCCTCCTTGACTTCCTCTTTTATTTTCTTTTTATTTACTCCTCTTTACCTCTGACATGCCATATTTTATATCGTAATTGGACAACATTTATATATGAAGAACTTTTTGCATTGAGGAGGGAGAAATTTTGATGTTTTCCATTTCAGAATTGTCCTCTCCTGCAGTTGAAATTCTTCCAGTTTCACAAATGCATGTACAAATTGGCTTTTAACTTCAGCTAAAATTGATGACATTGACAGTTAACGTTTTCCTTTTTCCAATGTCTGTTTTGGTATTCGATCTTCCAGCTTTGCTTTACAATTGTGTGTATATCCTTTGCGGACAAAGTAACACTCCACTAGACGTTATATGAGAAAACAAGTAGTATATGTAGCATTTACATGACTTTAACCTAAACACAACTCAGGACTTCTCTGTCAAGTTTTGCAAAACTAAAACAAAATCCCTTTCCACCAATTTTTACACAGAAACCATCTTATAGTAAAACTTTTACAAGTGTGAAAACTTTTATTTACTACAGGAAAAACTTTGAACAGCTATATATTCTTTATTTCCATTCTGGACATTATATATATCATAATTAATTAATAGTCAAAATTCGTAAAAATCTTCAGAAAATTTTATTTGCCGAACCCCTTTTCTGAGTTAAAGTACGAAATAAAAGATGTAAATATTTATTCAAAAGTATTTGAATCAAATGCTGTTGTCGTGAAGGTTTTCATATATTAAAACCAATATAACTGCCTGGACCCGGTTGTATCAATATTTAATGAATGATTAAAGCTTCATTAAACTGATCATTTTTAATGTGTCATTAAATTCCGTTGTATCAATGTTTTAATGAACGAGTCGGTGCATTAAACCTTCATTAAATTCCTCAATTTTAATGAAGGTAAGGGGGCTTCATTAAGTGGTCATTAAGTATGGCGGCTTACTTTATGTTTTGCCTGCTTGGCAGAATGAGAAGAATCAGAGCATTTTGTGATCCTTTTTCACTGCACATTATGGACGAGGAAATTCGGAAATGATACGTTTTAAAAAGAAAATAATGGACGGGCTGTCGAACCTTCAATATAGACAATAAGACATTCGTTATCACAATTACATCACCTACCTTGTCAACAAAATTATAGGTATAAAGATGCTTCTTTAAATCAAATCACAATAGAAATCCCAACTGTAATCCCAGTGAATCAAAATACCATCGTGTATATTTGTAAGCTAAGTGACGTCATTTTTTTCGTCATCATCTATGAGGTGGTTATAGGTTAACAGTGAAAAAATAAAATTCAGCTCCTATTTTAAGGTCTACGGGTATCAATAAAATCATGTATATGAATAATATATCAGAGATCTATTTTATATACATGTACTGTAATAGCAAGTCCGCCCCCCTCCTTTCCCACACACACATCTTTCAGCCTACCATCACGAAATATTTGCACAGATTGTCATTTTTTGCGTGTTAACATTTTCTTACATGTAAATTAATTTAAAAAAAAACAACTTTTACTCATTTTTGAAAAATACTACCACAAGCCTGATACTTCCATGACAAGTACATGTAACAATGAATAAAAAAAATCGCTTCAGAGATATTTTAACGGTTTATTATTTTTTTTTATTCATTGCTAATGTCAAAATGTTATAATTTATTCATTGCATTGAGAAAGGTATATTTTGAGTAGATAAAAAAAAAACTGTAACCGTCTTTAAATATGATATCTTTGAAATACGAGTATATGCCTTTATCAGTGTTATTTTTTAAAATCTTGCCTACCAACCCAACATTTTATAAACATGTAATAGTATTTATTTTTCTTAGAGGTCATAATTGAAAGATTCAGTTACATTTTAGTAAATGGTGTCTCATCAAGATATTATTTTATAAATAAATTAAACGTATTTTAAGTTATCTAAAAATTAACCTGTGTCTGCATCTAGAAAATTGTCGGAAAGACACTAATAAATTAATGCAAAAAAAAAATGCAGAACATAATTACATGTACAATATACATATATGAATCTTTTTCGCAAAAAGGTAAATTTCGTAATTCCATTTTTCGCCGTTATACTCTCCCGTATTTTATCCTTTTCTTTATTGTTTGTATTGAACATTCTTCGTGACTTTGCTATTAATGATATTGATACTTTCTTCTATTTGTATTGTTAGAAATAAGTTGAATTTTGCTAGAACCCCTCCCATTATTATGATTATAACTACATATACATTTGTTGAAAGAGTTTCATATTGTTTGTATGACTGAATTTTAAAAAAAAAATTATAAGAATAGAACAAAATAGGAGTAAATGAAGAGAAAAAATCAAAGTGAAAAAATGTAATAAGCAGGCATATGAACAGCTTATTGAGACAAAAGAGTTGCATTATCAATCAGGTAGAGTGCATATAATAATACATAAATAGGAAAAAGATGTCTCGACCCCAGATTTTAAAGAGAAAAAATGGAAGGAGCGGGAGCATCCCCCCGGTGCCTGTATAATACCAAATAATAGACAAGTAGACAGAATAAGAATGAAAGCGAAATACACTGACTTTTGGTTGTATTTCCCTTCCATAACAACCCCCCCCCCCCCCCGCTACATGTATTTATGATATCGATATTTCGCTACGTAAGTTCGGTGAAAAGTTGAATTTCGCTAGAATTAATTTTCTTTCCCTGATTTCTATTATATTTGAATTGAATTCCGTCACTAAATACAAAAGTTAGGCCTATATCCTTCAAGACACTCACAGACTTCGTTAAATGTCGTAATTTTTTTTAATTTTCACGTCATAATTACAATAATTTCTATTCGGTTGATTTAAAAAAAAAACATTAGAGCTTATTTGTAAACAAAGGAAACGCCCACGGATACGCCCCCGGAAGTATTAATGCATTGCATTGTGGGATATTCCCCTAATGTTAATAAATCTTTAATGAATTCTTAAATATTTAATGATTCATTAAGTAGTAAGACTCTAATAAAGGTTTTGTACAATACACTTTAATGACTTTATTAACTAATGTATCATTAAGAATTTAATGAATCATTAGGCTTAATAATTCATTAAATTTAATGAACCATTGATACAACCGGATCCTGCTCTCTATTACATTCACAAAACTTAATATGTTTTCTTCTTCAATTAATATATAAATTTGAATGAATATAGTGAAAACTTTGATACTTTCCTTTCCGATAGTAATGGAATATGTGGAGATAACGGACAGTATTGAAACTCATAAGTCCATAAAGCAATACAAAGTAGGAGCAGAGCAAACACAGACCTCCAATGCATCAGAGGTGGGATGGGATGCCATGAAGGAGAGTGAGCATCCCCTGCCAACCGGTCACACCCGCCGTGTTATCCATGTCATGATTGGGAAATAAAGGAAAAATCCGTCGTCAGTTCAGTGTGACAATAATGGAAAAGGTCAGTCAGCATACTCATACGACTCGATGATAATTTGTATTTGCTGCCAAGGTCATTGACAGTGAAAACTTTAAAGTTCTCAAGTGAAAACTCTAAACTACTTAAGTGAAAAATGAGAAACTCTGACTTTAGTCAAAGAGGGCTGGGTTGCGGCCATTTTCAGACTTTTTTGATCTTCTTTTGACGAAGAGCTCCAAAATAAAGATATTAAAATGACCAAATTTTAAGTATGTATTTCTTTGCCAGATGATAGTTGACAACAGGGACAAGGACACAGTTTCAGCTAAAAGTTTTCAAATTTATTTTTCTAATTTTTTTAATGTTTACAAATATTTAACTAATTCAAGTATTATCAAAACAAGAGGCCCATGGGCCACATCGCTCACCTGAGCACTGTGGCTGGGAAAAGTAGAAATTGGTTTATTATTGAATAGTTTATATCCAAAAGTAATCCCATGACCAACCTAGGGCTGTGTATTGAGCCAAAAATTTTGATACGATACGATACAATATTTTT